CAACAGCGGCGTCAGTGCACCCACCTAGGTCACTATGGCAACCAACCAGGGGGGGGGGGCCAGTCAGGTGGGAAGGCATGCGCACACTCCACGACCTCCTGTACTTGTTTTTCCTAGAGGCAACAGGTGGTTGCAGCAGAGCAAGGTCTGGAGGCTGTTCTCATTACCGATGCCGCACCCCTGTGACGCAGGTTCAAGGTCTCACAGGTGCGCCACGAGCCCAACATACAGCTGGAGGATGACATCATGAGGCTGCGGCAGGTGGGGCTCAGTCCATGCGCGTTGTGTAGGCGTGGAAAGGGTGCAGTGCCTGCTTATGTGAGAGATAAGCCGGTGCTATGCGCCTCGCAGGGTGGGCGTGAGCTGATGTGCGCACATGTGTGTGTGTGTGTGTGTGTGTGTGCACGCGCGCATGCGCGCGCGCGCGTGCGTGCGTGCGTGCGTGCGTGCGTGCGTGCGTGCGTGCGTGCGCGCGCACGCACGCACGAGCTCGGATGCGCCCGCGCGCATCCGCCCGCGCGTGTGTGTGCGCTTGCGTGTGTGCATAAAGCAAGCAAGCGTGCTGTAAGTCCAGAAGGCCCAACTTGAGATCTTGCGAGGCGCGCCTTGTTGCCCAGTTGCTGGCGGGGCCAGAGCAACAGCACCCTGCCTCAACAGCATCCCAATTGCTGCCCTACCGCGCCTCGCCCATCACAGGCTTTGTACAAGCTTGAGTACAAGCAGCGCCTTAGGCTCAAGGGGTGAGGCCCCGTCGTTGCTCTTCCACGTCAAATGCTGCGAATCGTGGGTGGGCAGCAGTGATCGCAGCCCCCCCCACCCGCGCATGTTGACACGCCCCTGGCCCTTATCTGATTGTTTGTACACAGCTGCATTAGGCCAGGCCTGCAGCTGCCGGTGTTGTCGTCCTGCTGCTTCAATCGGTGTTGACGGGTTCCACCAGCCCCACGCGATGATTTCGTTTAGTTTGTCTGCTTGCTGAACCAGAGACAGGTTGGAATTAGCATCGTCCCGAAAAGGCACCTATGTGAGGCCTTGCGCACATGGACTCCTGAGACCGCTGTCCACAACAATGGTAGCCAGACCGTTGATTTCTGCGGGCATGATTGATGGGCCCAGTTCTCAGCACACCAAGCACGCAGTGTAACACCAAATGTGACCAAGTCAGGAGGGACAGCACTTTTGCCTGCTGCCCGAGCTGGCCCGCCTGGTACAAGCTGCAGCAGCCACCCTGGGCAACAGCCATCAAGGGCGGGCAGGTCACACAAATCTCATCAAATTGATGTGAGTGCTGATTGCACATGTGAATTGCACAGCCGGGCTGGTCAACACGAAGTCAAACGGTGTTTGGTTGCGCCAGTTGCCGTTTGTCATTCAGCCGAGGATACTCTCCTAGCACATTCTCACACCCGATATTACAAGTATCAACACATCTATGCTCACCTGGCCGGCAAGGAGCACCTTATCCTGCACGGGAAGTACAGTTGCAGCTGCATGGTTGGCTGGTTCTGCTTGGAAGGGCCACATGGCCGCGATTTCGCCTGACAGAATTGAGGTTGTTCGCAGCGCCGTCTACTAATCACCCGCACCTGCGGTGGGGTCGGAGAGCAGTGCTGCTCATCGGCAGCCTGATCTGGGATGCTGCCCATCCTTTCCACTCGCATATCAACTTGTTTGGCTTCTCAGCAATATCTCGTTTGTCACACACTCCTGTGGGCCGCTGGCCGCGGTCCACGTAATTTTGCTGGCCCCAATCGCGGGCGGCAGCGTGCCGCAGCAAGGGATATGGAGCCATCGCGAACCATACAGGCCATAGATGCAGCGGCTTGCGCGTCTGTTCCATCTGTGGCGCCCGAGCCAGCCGCCGCAGCGCCGCCAAGGCGCCAGCACCACCCTCGCAAGCCCAAGGTGCCGCGCGCCGCGTCGCCGCCCGCCGCCGTCGTGGCGGCCGCCGCGGCCGAGGTCTTGGAATCGGAGATCGACCAGATTCTCCTGAAAACCAGCAAAAGGAAGGGGAGGAAGGAGATCCCTGCCGACCCCCAGGTCAGGGACTCCATCCGCCGGCGCATCGCGGAGAGCCGGGTCAAGAAGCAGTCGCGCCTCAGCTTCCACTGCCCCGCGTGCACCACGGTGCTCAGCCGCTCGGGCACGCTGGCGGCGCACGTCGCGCGGTGCTGCTCCGACATCCTGGACCCGAAGGCCGTGCAGCGGGTGAGTTGGCCCAGCCCAGCGATGCCGCGCCTGGCTGCGGGGCGGCGCGCCCCTGAGAACTGGGAAGCACCGCATGCTCCTGATTTCCTGCATTGCGACGACATGAATTGGCGTGCCTGAGATGCTGGGAAGCACGCGCATGCTCAGGGTCAATACACCATGCATACGGCATGCCGAAACGGCACACACACACACACACACACACACACACACGCATGCACACACGCATGCGCACACACACACACACAGCCATGCAAACACATGCACATGCACGATTGCATACCCGCGCCTCGAGCGCAGGCGTCCGACGCCGGCGACGCGGCCGCGCTGCAGCAGCTGCTCGACGCCGCAGGCCTGGCGGAGAGCAAGCTGCGGCGCCGTGCGCTGGAGATAACCTTTTTGCCCAACGGCGTCCGGACCACGGCATATGCAGTCCCGGGCGAGGCCGGGCCAGCGGTGACCGCGGCGGCGGGGGCCACGCAGACCGTGGAAGAAGATGAGGAAGAGATGCCGCTCGACGGCGCCGCCGCCGTCGCTGCTGCGGCCGCTGCCGCGGTCGTGGCGGCGGAGGAGGCGGAGTTTTCTTCGTTCCTGGAAGCGGCCAACAGGGCAGCGGATGAAGCGCTCGGCGCGCAGGGGGACGGCGGCGGCGGCAGCAGCGGCGGCGGCGACGGCGGGGCGCCAAAGGTCAGGGCGCCGCGGCTGCCGGTTCCGAAGGGCGACACCGCGGCGCTTGGCAGCAAGCGGCAGCGGATTGCGGAGGCGCCGGCTGACATTGCTGCGCAGCTGGGCCTCCCGTTGGAAAGGTGGGTTGGGTCGCTGCTTGCGGGCGTCAAAGGCGAGCGTCTTGCATTGCACATTGCGCGATCCAGCTCCATCAACGCAGCAGTACTCGTGCACACACATGCATCGCGGCCGCCACGCCTCTCGCCCTTACTTGTTGCGCCCGCCGGCTGCGGCTGCGGCTGCAAACACGTCGCAAACGCATGCACTGGCGCGCGGGGCCCGCCCCTTTACACGCCCGCCGCCGGCCCTCGTCTGCTTTGCAGGTCTGAGCGGCTGCTGCTGCGCGCGATGCGGGGCATACCCCTTGCTCACGACCGGGACGACCCGGTGCAGGTGCGTGGTTGAGGGGAGGGGGGAAGTGTGTGCACACGAGCGTGCGCGCGCGTGTTTGGGGTAGGGACGGGCTGCGCGGTCAGCTGCGGCGGCCGTGGCGGCGGCAGCGGCGTCTTTGGGGGATCCTGCGCTGAACACCTCAAACCCACCTTGCCGGGGCCGCCTTGCGCGGCGCTTTGTCGTGCCCGCGGCACCACACGCAGAGCCGCGCACGGGGCGGCGCGGCAGGGCGCTCCTCGCGCGACACACCCGCGCCCCTGGCGCCGCCCGCTCCCGCCCCTGGTCCCTCAACGCCTCAGCCGCGGACACCAAACCCGCTCACTCTTTCGTGCCCCCCTCCTTCCTTCTCAGCTTCTCACCTTACACTGAAGACCCGGCCCCTCTCAATGCACACATCGCTCCCACCACTCTCATCCAATACTTTCTTGACGCGTCTCATCCCCCCTCCCCCCAAAAAGGTGGTATACGAGGACGAGCATTTCATTGCCGTCTGCAAGCCCCCAAACGTCCACTCGGCTCCCACGCACAGATGGCGCGGCGGCAGCATGGTGGGCACGGCCCCAGCCAAGGCGCCGCCTCTGCCAGCCCGCCTGCGCCGGCCCGCCGGCGCAGCTTGTACCGCCGTCCAACCAGCTTGCCAGCGCCCTCCTCAGCCCACGTCAAATGAGCGCCTGACGTCGTCGCGTTTGCGCGCCCCATCTTCACACCCAAACAGGTCAACCGCCTTCTGGCGCATATGGGTGGCAAGCCGCCGTACCTGATGCACCGACTGGATGTGGACACCAGCGGCCTGCTGCTGTTTGGCAAGGTGGCCGAGGTCGTGCCCGGCGTCATGCAGCAGTTCAGGTGGGCGGGGGCGACAGCAACTAGCCCCGTACATGCACGGGTGCGGTGCAGTCAGGCCGAGGCAAGGCGGCAAGGCGGGCAGGAGGCATCAGCAGGGGCTTGAGGTGCCGGCGGTCAACTGCCGCGCCACTGGACGCTGCGCGGCGGCGCGCCATGCGCCCGTTTGCGTCCGCGGCGCCACCAGCCGCGGCCGCGCCCCTCGGCCGCCGCCCTTTGTCCTCGCAACCCGGCTGCGCTCGACCCGCTCTCGATCCCGACTTTCAGGGAGCGCACGGTCGCAAAAGAGTACCTGGCAATTACAGTCGGCGCCCCCCAGCCCCCAGACCCCTCCGGCGCCTTCGACGTGGACGCCCCCATCGGCCGCCACCCCTCGATCGAGACCGCGCGCCGCGTCGCGCCGCCGGAGGACGAGGAGGGCAAGCCGGCCGCCACTGGCTTCAAAGTTGAGGCCGCCAACCCGCAGGCGCCGCTGGTGGAGCCGGGCGCGGGCTGCGAGGCCGGGCAGCTCTGGCACGAGCGGGGGCCGCGGATCGGCGGCGGCGGCGGGGGCGGCGGCGACGACGCGAGGAGCATAGATGGGCTCGTCGGCGCGGCGATAGTGCGGTGCTTCCCCAAGTCGGGGCGCACCCACCAGATCCGCGTGCACCTCGCGCACGCGGGGCACCCCATCATCTCCGACGCGGTGTACGGCGTCACCGGCCCCTGGATGCCGCGGCAGGCGCTGCACGCGCTGGCGCTGACGATAACGCACCCGCTGACGGGGCAGCGGCTGCGGATGGTGGCCCCGCTGCCGGAGGACTTTCGGGCGGCGGCGCAGCAGCTGGGGCTGCAGCCGCCGTCGGACGCGCTGTGAACGCGCGCGGCTGGGCACACTGCGTTAGGCATTCGTTCATGATTTCGTACCTGACTCTGGGCTGCTGACGGGTGCTGCGTACCCTGTCCCGCCTGTCATCCGTGCGGGGCTGGCGGGGTCCTTGGCTTGCCGCCCTGATCATTGCAAGTGTACAGGCCAAGTCAGATCACTGGCTGCCTGCCTTTGGTGGCAAAGCCTCAGTTATATCAACGCTTCGTTGACCCTGGGTGTTACGAATTGCTTACCGTTCGCTTGCAGCTGTATAGGGACCACCGGCCGCTCAATGGAGAACAGCCACTGGGTACGAGGGGGGCCGGCAGAGCGCACACATCATGCAGCACCCACCAGCAGAGCCCCAGGCCCTCTGCGTCTCAGGACACTCATGGGATTTGTTGCCAATCAATAATGGTAGCAATGAGTCGGGATGTAGACTGGTCAGGTCCAGGCTTAACTGTTTTCAGAGTGCTGCAGATCAGCTGCGCTTTTCAAACTGCAGCGGAATCCACGCTGCATCCCAGCAATAGGCTGGAAACGGCAGGGTTTGCTTGCAGGTTGAGAGTGTGGCGATCGAATGAGACCTATCAATAAGGACATCTCGGCAACCAAGGCGACAGCCCTCTTGCGCGCACACCGAGCACTTGCGAGTGCGCCCTCGGATATCGCTTGCGCCCATCACCTTACACACTGCCCGCGCCCCCGGCCGCCGCCGCCGTCTTGGGCAGCTTCTTTGCAGCTGCCGGCAGCGAGCGGTGCAGCTGGTGCGCCTGCTTCTGCGCGTCCTGCAGCGCCGCCTCCACCTTGCCCAGCTGCTGCTGCACGCCGGCCACCACGCCGACAGCGACCTGCTGCAGGCCGCCCTTGGCCGCGGCAGCTTCCGCCAGCTTCGCGTCGCTCAGCGCCCGCGCCTGCGACAGCGCCTCAGCCAGCGCCGCGTGGGCGGCCGCGATCCTCGCGTCGACCGCGGCGGTCGCCGCCTTGGTCTTCTCCGAGACGCGGCCGTGCACCTGGTCGCCGAGCGACTGCTTCAGCTGCGCGACCTGCGCGGTCGCGTTGGCGACGACGCTTTCGGCCGCGCTGATCTGACCGTCCACCTGCCGCTTGGTCTGCTGCAGCGCCTGCGTCGCCGCCACAAGGTGCGCCGCGTCCGCGGCCGCGGCGATCGCGCCGTGCGCGGCGGCGGTGGCGTTGTTGATCACCTGCAGGTGGCCGTAGGCGCCGCTCTCCTTGAGCCACGACAGCAGCACCAGGCTCTTCAGCCGGTCGACGCCGCTCTGGGTCGCGTTCTGCAGCGCCTGCAGGCCCGGCAGGTACGGCACGCGCGGCTTGGTCAGCTGCTTCGGCACGGCGCCGGACTCGAGCGCCGCGGCGGGCGCTGCGGCGGCGTCGCGGCCGGCGATGAGGCGGACCAGCGGCAGGCCGGTCGCGTTCTGCGCCGTGGAGAGCGCCCCGAGCAGGCCCGTCTGCTGCAGCCAATCGAGGGTGACCGCGGCCCTCAGCGAATCTGCGCTGTTGATGGTGGAGTTGAGCGTCGCCAGCGCGGCGAGCGTGTAGAGGTAGGGTTTCTCCGTTTCCTGCTGCACGTAGTCAACAATGCCGGCGGCAGGCGAAAGCGTGGCGTTGAGGAGGGCGTAGGCGCCCGACTCCTTGAGCCAGGAGAGCAGCACGGCGCTCTGGAGCTTGTTAATTGTCGCCAGGTCAGCCTGCGCCTGCTGCAGGTGGTGGGGCGCAACAGGGTAAGATAGGAGGTTCTGAGGTCAGAATTGCAGGCACGGAGGGCTGCAGGGTGTTGCTTGATGCGCAGGGTGCCACTACATGTGCATGCAGGGGCAGCTGCAGCAGGTGGACGCGTTGCAACAGGCCAGGGATGCCACCATGCTTGCCACCGTCCGTCGCTCACATGCGTCAGGTTGTTCAGCTTGCCGCTGATCGCCGTCCCAAAGTCACCAAGCGCGGACCCGTGCGCGCCTGGCGTTGCAGTGGGGCGGCGGGCGTCAGTGTGGGCCGCTCGCAGGGCACAAGACCAGGTCTGCAGGCCCCAAGACCACATGACTTGCGCACCGAGCAGGCTGTCACAGCGCGATAGCGCACAGCGCTATCACACTGGCTCGCGTCATACTGTAGCGGATAGTGAAATAGCGCTGTGTGCTGACGAGCGGCCCTTCCTACCACATGCTGCGGGCAAGAAACCTCTCGCCCAAAACGGGCGACATGAGGGCGCCGCAGCAGGGGGCCGCGCCTACCTGCGGCGAGCAGCACGAACAGCGCCAATAGACCAATAAGACGCCCCGCCATTGCTGTTATTGGCGCGTCCTCTTGTAACGGGGGCACCCTCAAAATGAGTGCGGCGGGTAGGCCGTAGCTTTGGGTGCCCTGCAACGAAGGGGCACCGATTGCTATAGATCTTGTCGTTTGGGTATATTTTATTGCTGTGATTATCAATCGGCAGTTTTCCCTCAACGGCAGCCTCATTCCATCACTTCCCTGCAGCTGCTTCGCTTGTACCCGCCCAGCTCAGAGTCTGTTCGTCGTTCAGCTCCTCTTGCAACATAGTATTGTCGTGGATTGCTGAAAATTACGCAATACATCGGCTTATTCGATCCTACCAGCTCTATACCTCTGCTGCAACACACTCTCCCGCCCAGAGGTGTATTCAAACAGTGATCTACCCAATATCGCAGCCCGAGTTTCACAGGCCTCTTTCGCTGCTGATTATTTGTTTCATCATCATAAGTTTTGCGTTCGGATTCCAAACACCCTCAGTCGCCCGCCGCATTTCAAAAGGCCCGGTCTCCCTCCTTTTGCCCATACCAGTCGCGTGCCTACACTAGCCCAATCAGAGCAGCTAAATACATATTTCACAATGACCGCGGCTGTGGATGCACACGTCGCGGGCCTCGATCTAGCAGAGGCAGTACTGATGCCCCTTTCGTGCATCAGCAACGTCCCTACTAGCCCACGCAGCGCCAAGAAGCAGCGATTGATCACGGAATGCCGGTCGCCGACGACCCCAGCTCAGCCACGGGCGCTTGCTTTTGGCGCCGACTGCGGCGCCGCCGCCCCGCGCCCGCCTATTGTCGAGGAAGACCCCCTGGCCGAGCCGCTCGCCTCTGCGCGCGAGCTGCTGCGCGACCCCTCCGCCACCGACGGCGCGCCGCTCGGACGCGAGGCGCAGCACGAGCGCGTCGCGGCGGCGGCGGCGGCGTTTGCCGCGGGCGGGCGCGGGGAGGCGCTCTATGTTTCAGGTCTGCCCGGGACGGGGAAGAGCCACACAGTATCCCGCGCGCTGCGCGCGCTTGACGCTGTGGAAGGCGGCGCCGTCTCCACCCTCTGGATCAACTGCATGGGCGTCGCCAACGCGGGCGAGGCGTACGGGCGGATCCACGCGGCAGCGCTCGCGGCCGCCGCCGGCGGCGCCCGAGCCAGCACGCCCGGCAAGCGCAAGGCGCCGGGCGGCGGCAACTGCGGCGGCGCCAGCAGCAGCAGCAGCGTGACGGGCAGCCTGTCAGTCAGCTACGAGCAGCTGCTGCAGGCGCTCAGGGGCGGCAGCGGAGGGGCGGACGCCTCCAAGAAGCGCCGCAGCGTCGGCGGCGGGCGCGGGGTCGGCGCCGGGGCGGGGTGCGGCGGCCCCGCGGTGGCGGTTGTGCTTGATGAGGTGGACGCCCTGGTGGGCAAGGGCCAGCAGGTGGGTGGGGGCTAGACCCGCCGCCGACGTGGGCACGTATTTTCAGGAGCATTCGCCTCGCCAGCGGC